CATAAAAATCTTCAGTATTTAACAACCTTTCATTTTCATTAAAATATTTTTCAAATATTGAATTCATTTTTTAAAGACAAAAAAAATGTGACATGTTACAATTAAATTATTATGCAAAATTTTCTTTTGTTATCACTTGATCTGCAATATTTTGTTAAACAAATACACAAATTTTTTTTTTTTCAAAATGACAACTATTGAAATCATTATCATTCAAGAACAACTAAAAACGCAAATAAAGAATTAACAAAAGTAAAAGAGGAGTCAAATGCACTTCTCTATAAATCCATGGTCTTGTCTGGTCATGTTTACTTCATCAACAATCATTTTGTAGACGTATTTGTCAACAATTCATTTTGTCAACAAACACTTCATGATACTGATGGTGATGATATTGTCACTGACTATTTTGGTATTATAATAATTATTGTTTTTAATAGTGTGAATCAGACAAATTGGCAATATGCTAATGAATAGTATTGAGGCTTCATTTCAATCAAACTCGGGAATATCTATTTTTTTGACAATGATTCTTTTCAAGATGCATGAAATTCAGTCATTAATATGCTTGCAAACTAATTAGTATCCAAATTTCCTGATATTTCTGAAATCATAATTCTCATAACCAATGTGTATGTTATGCTAAAATCATATGAACTGTCAATGAAATGAATCAGACTCATAATAAAAATTTATTACAATTTTTAAGAATTTATTTTTAAAAAGATAATGATTTTACAGAGATTTTATTTTATTTGAATGTTAATGTGGTATTTGTACACCCTGTTTGTTCAAGTGAGAACCCAAACAAAGTTATCTTCTACTCCCACTTTTTCAAGTGAAGACCAGAAGTTCATTCATTATCATTAAGTTGGTTGAATGTCTAATAAAAATTTTTATTATTATTCACATTTTGTCTCCTCATACTAGTAATAATTATCAAGCTAACAGATTCAATGTATAAAGTAATTAAACTGTAACTAATGAAAAATATGTGAAAAATATATAAAGAAAATATAATAATCTAACATTGTATCTATCTATTATATATTTTTTTTATCAATTATTTGAAAAACTTCCAATTTATCAAATCTACTACCATTTACTATATTGATATTACTATATGCAAAATTATTAATAACAATAGTACCCTTAGCTTGAAAATAAATATCATTCCAACCAAAAATAGCTAAATGTGAAGGACTGCAGTAAATTGCATGTTGATGATGTTGATGATTGATAACATAACTCAATTGTGCAGTATTAATATTATTTCTATTGCTTATATTAAATATAAAACTTTCAGTTGTATTTTTATAA